TCTACTACATACGTATATGACCCACTTTCAATACATATTCATGTCTCCACCGGTGGAATTACCTAATAATTATTATAATTACTTTATATTGTAATCATACATGCCTCTATGCAAGCCTTGTGGCTTCACATATACATACCATCAAATATATTTGGTTTGTCAGGCTTAATTTGTGTTCATAATCATTAAATTATTAATAATGAAAATCTGCATTAAAACAATAAGAAGCACATATTAGCTAGTCTGCTGTTACGGGTGCGTGCAGGAAGGCAGACAAACACATATGATAAAAGTTCCACACAGTTTACTTATAATACAAATGGTTAGCGATCCAAACAGGTAGTAGAATACACACACATAGGCATAGCGGTGACGGGACAATGAGTGGCAAACTCAAACAAGATAATCCCTCAAAGAGGTAGGTAGGTGACGATTGACCAAGGGGGAGCTGGTAGGACGAGGGAAGCCGCTGGAGTCACTAGGACGAGAGTCCCTGGTGGAGGCGAAGGTGGGAGGAGCCAGGACGAAGCTGGCAGGTCGACGGGCCGAGATGGAGCGAAGGGATCCTCTAGCACAGGCGCTGCTGATGACAGGCCATCTCCCCAGACAGCGCAGGACTGCATGCTTCTACCTTGAAGGACTGGCGAGCTCTGTGGTGATAGAGATGACAGGAGGCTTGACAGGATGATGGTGAGTAGGGCACAGTCCACACAAATCAAAGAAATGAGCACAAAACAGTCCACATTAATAATGCTGTCTTTAAGCAGCAAAGAAGGTACAACAGAAGAACTATCGTTCAAGTAGTTGTCAGAGCTGTATTCATACAGCGATGACGAATTAGATTCTGGGTGAGCTAGGGTGGGTGTTGATCCCACTGAAGGTTATCCCTCGGGCTCAGAGCCCTGGTCAGACTCGCTCGGGGGCTTCACTTCCGGGGCGCTGGTGAGTGCTGTCCTCGGGCTCTGGATCACTGATCGCGGCGAGTGGTCCCTCAACGTCTATGAGGGGCTCTAACGAATTATCCATGGTTTAAGGTGATAAATCTGGCTCTGGGTCTGGCTCTGCTCTGAATCGGGGCTGGATGCTCCCTGGGAGGTCTATGCGGTGGTGAAAATTCGACCCCGATCCAGAACAAGGTCTTCAGGGTCTCGTCGTCAAGTGGGCTGGTGACGGCACGAGGAAAAACCCAGCAGTGAAGGATAGAAAATAGCGGCTCTCCTGAGCCACTGCAGTAAATTGCTCTCTTAAAGCCATTGTTGTGCTCCGGTCATCTGTTACGGGTGCGTGCAGGCAGACGAAGACACAGAAGAGTTGTTTATTTCTATACCAAATGTCAAAAAAATCTAAACAGAAACATCATTATGTTGATATCCTATATTTTTACAATAAAACTTACGACAAACATGTCATCTAAGATCCTCAAGTGTTGTGATTTGCATCAAAAACATTTGCAGATTACTTTCCTTGAACCCATTGTGTGAGTTCACTTTAATACCGCGTGCTTTATATACATGTTACTGCTGATTGGACTGCAATTCTGACACACCCACCAAACAAGAGAAAACGTATCTCAAACCCCGTTGCACACCGGTGCACGCCGTTTCCAGGAAACATGACGTTCAACTCGGAAACCTTAGCAAACTGTTGCACATCGTTTTGAACTTAAACGTGCCCCAGCTGAAGATAAGCATCAAGCATCTGATTGGCTGATAATAGTAAGACAGCTATGAATGTCCAAAGATGTGTAACAAGCATCTGACTGGTTAAAAATGAGAAAGACAGCATATGAAAAACTTAAAGGGAAAGTTCACCCAAAATGAAAATTAGCCCATGATTTACTCACCCTGAAGCCATCCTAGGTGTATATGACATTCTTCTTTCAGACGAATACTGTAGTGTTACAAGATTTATTAAAAAGTTTAATTGAATTTCTAAAGTGCGGGAAGCCCTGAAGCTTTGAAAACCTGCATACCTCATTACTGAGACCGATTGTCTTGCCCCGAAGTCCTGCCCCATCCTGTTCTCGTGGCTCATGCTGAGCAGGCTCCTAAACCTGTATACCTTGTTTACATACTTTGTTTCAGAGTGTCTCCACCTCTATGTAACCCCTCCCCTTTGAAAGGTATATCAACTACAATGTATACTGCCTTAGTCAGACTTGATGAGGCAGACTTGATGAGGACTGCAGCTAGCAACAGCTCGTGTTTCTCAATAAAGAATCCTGCTGAGTTCTTAAACTTTAGAAGAAAAAAGTTCACAATAAAATCAGAGTTATATTAAAAATTGGTCCTGGCTCTTCCAAGCTTTATAATGGCAGTGAATGGAGGGTGAGATTTTTACGCATGACGTATTGAGGAAAACAATGGTCATGAATTAGAAGTTTAAAACAAGATTTTTTAAAGAGAAACGTCGAAGGATTTCAATGCAAGAGAAGAGGAGCTTGAGTTTGCTTGAACCGTGAGAGACGTCAAAGTTTACGCTACTCCTACATCGCATCGAGGGTTACTCTTGTGGTGCAAGTCGACTTGCATAGGCCGTCTGCCAGAAGATTGTAAAGTTTTAGATATGGATATTTTTCTTGAACTCAGAAGGCCTTTATGAACCCCCTGGAGCCGTTTGGATTACTTTTATGATGAATGGAGGAATGTACTTTTTCAACAATTTGACATTTGATTGGAAAATACATTTTCAAAATTTTCAAATAATTGTTACTTTAATTGTAACATGGAGGATTTTCCTTGTTACAATTAAAAAAAATCTCTTTTTCCTTGTTACAATTAAAAAAAATCTCTTTTTTACTGAGATTGTAAAATATAGGTGAGATTATCGAATAGAGTTTTACTATGTAAACCTCTGGAAGTTAAGGTCAAACAGGATTACTGGGCAGTGCTGTATAAGATCAGTGACACTCTTACAGAAATCCTGATCTCTGTAGATCTTCATCATTGAGGCCAGCATGTGCCTTACACACACACACACACACACACACACACACACACACACACAACATCCTGTCTTGATCAGCCAAAAAAGTGCACACAGAGACCAGAGCCACACCTACACAGTCCAGAGACAGGTTTGGGAGGCAGACTATTGTACGCAGCCTAATTCAGGGTGCTCAAGTTTTACTTCCACTTTCAAGTTGGCTATTGGGTGTAGGCCTCCTCCGTAGTGGCGGTGCTGAGCGCGCGCTCTACAAGATAAGGGGCCGTTCACACAGGAAGGGTTTCTTTCTTTGTAAGTAACACGAGACACTGGCAGTGGAATGAGGAAAACGCATGGTCTCGAGACGTGTTTTTTAAAAGTTGAACTGATTTTAACTTGAGCGCCTCGTCTTTTGAATGCTGTGTCATGCACGAGACGCTGCAAAAGATGCAAGATGCGAGCGCACACATCTAGTGCGTGTTTACATAGAAAAAGATGGAAAAGTAGCGAACTGAATGAAAAAAGTATTCTGTGTGAACCGCCCCTAAGACATTTTTCAGATGCGGTTGCGCAATGAATGAGGGAATGACGTGCTGGATGAGCAGAGCAAACCTTTACTATAGTTTACAATGCTTTTTATTTGTAGAAACAGCAAAATGACAGTGGAGGCGGTGCTGCAACGGGCAACGTAATGTAGCGGTGACGTATGCTAATTTTCACCCCTCGTCATGGTTATATCGCGAGACAGCTTTTCACTCGACGAATATCTCGTCACATTTTATTCTCTTGTGGCACCCCTAGTTGTTTAATACATAAAACATGTTCAATATATTATGTGAATACTTTTAATGCATGTGAAAGTAATGAATGAATAAATGAATGGGTGAAACTATTGTAAAACAATCACACTTTTTTGTATAAGAGCATTTGTCCACCTGATGAAATAAGACAATTATCTCAAAACGAGTTACGTACAGCATAATATAAAAATATGGGATTAATTGCATAAGAATAATGAATAAAATTTGTGCTTAAAGTCTCCTGACATATAAAAACTAAATCAAACTTAATTGAATTCAAGATTCTCTAACAAAAAGAATTATACAGTCTAATTTTAAGGACATTTCAATATATATGTACAGGTAAACAAGACAAAACACTTATTAAAATAACATTGTGCAGTCTTTTGTGAGTGAGACATAGCAGAATGAGCGGTTAACTAACCAGCCGACATTTCTCAGCCTATGTCTGTCACGGAGAAGCACAAACCAGCAGAATTACTCTATTCACACACCCACAGACTCACTCCTGCTCTCTGCCTCCACCTCACACACACACACACACACACACACACACACACGTGTGCGAATGCTACTGTAAAAATAGACATCTTAAAGAGGCAGCAGCCATCTGAGAATCACTGACAGTGACAGAGAAGTTCAGAAATATATTATTATGAGTATGAGTTTGCATTTCATTTCGCTAAATTTAAAAAAATTAAAAATAAATATATTTATAAAATATCTGATGATATATACTATACACATGTCTTTCACTATCCAAAATTCACTATGGAAAATGTTTATTCATTTATTCATTAATCTCCAATGAAAGTATTACAAGTGTAATAGAAACTGTTTTGTCTCAGTTTCTTTTTTTAATGCCTGCCAAAGGTTGGTTCTGGATTTTAAATGAAAATATGCCAGAATCAGCCCTACTACATGAAGTTATAACAGAGATTGGCAGATATTGCTTCATAACATAGCAACTTCATGTTTCACTTTGACAGTTCAGGAGTGTAAAACACAACAGATGATCAGTTTGAGAGCCCTATCAGCTTCCTTTATCTGCCTCTTTCCAACAGTTTCAACGCTATCCTCTAAATGTGGTGAGTTACAAACCCTGTCTTTGCACGTTTCACGTAAAGCTGGTGACTTTGAAGAACACACTTTGAGTCACACATTGCTTGAATATCCACACAACACCCACACACTCCCGTATGTCTCGAAGACACTCAATAACGCTCATTCTATCACAGTTGTCAACACGAGCACACACATGCAAAAGTGTCCTACCTCTTTGGGTGTCTTTTTATGGTGAGGAATACACTGAGGGATCATGGGAAAGCAGCAGTGGCACAGCAGACGGGGATATCCAGCATGATGCTGTAAACTGTCTTTTTCCTTATCTTGTCCTCACCTAGTCACTCTTTTGCTGTATCTTCTGTATTTTTCTGTCTCGCCCACTGTGAGCGCTCTCTCTCTCTCTCTCTCTCTCACACACACACACACACTTCAGCTCGCCCTTTGTGACCCCCTCCTCTTTCTCCCTCTCTCTGTGGGTGTATAATTAGACTCAGTCCTGTCGTGATACAGCTTTCACTCATTGTGGGAACGTCTCTGAGCTGCTGGACGTGCTGGCAGGAAGCCGAGCAGCTTTGCTCATTAACCTCTTAAGAGCTGGGGAATGTACCGACACTGCCTGTGCCCCATTGGCCACTTCCCCTTCTCATCCCAGCCAAGGGCTGCTTTGATTGGCTGCTGAACTACATGCTTCCATCCAGAAGCTCACACCATTGGCTACAGTGCCACATGCTCCAGCTTGTATCTTGTCTGCACTCTCACTTTTACATTTAACCACCAACTTTTTATATCCTTATCTGATTACATTTACAAGTTAAAAAACATTCTAGTTTTGTTGTGATCGATGATTTAAAGTGTTGTTTAATTGATTGCTCATGGTGAAGTGTTGTCTAACTGGTAAATTAATCCTACAGATGAAGACGATTGAAATATGTAATCACGTTAAAAATCATACAAATCAATACTTATTTAAAAAATATATTCATGTAGAGTACTACCACAATGCTAGAGTGTGTTCTAAGTGGTTTCTATTGTGATGCTATACATCTGCTTGTTTATGTGGTTACTTTATCTACAAAATACAGAATAATAACGTTTTTTTTCCAACTCAATCGGCAAATAGTTCTTTCTTGTTTTAAGCATAAATTAATTAAATTGTGACCAAGCGTAGCATCAGTTCTGGCAGGTCACGTTAGTCAAGCTCGCATCTCTCAGCTGATCTACGTCTATACACCACCTACCCATCCCTCTATACATATATAAGCTCCTTCAGTATTATCAGCAGCTACTGCGTTTCTCAGGAGCTAATTAAATGGCAAAAGTCCAGTAGCACCTCATTGCAGTACACGAGATCCAGGGGGCGGAGTTGGATCCAGATCAGAGGGGTGGAGATGGGTAGGATTAGGGGTGGGGTTAGGGATCAGGGATTTGGGGTGTTTGATTCCCATGTTTGATTCCCGAGTTTGATTCCTGTGTTTGTGTTTGATTCCTGTGTTTGATTCCTGAGTTTGATTCATGTGTTTGATTCCTGTGTTTGATTCCCATTTTTGATTCCCGTGTTTGATTCCTGTGTTTGTGTTTGATTCCTGTGTTTGATTCCTGTGTTTGTGTTTGATTCCTGTGTTTGATTCCTGTGTTTGATTCCTGTGTTTGTGTTTGATTCCCGTGTTTGATTCCTCTGTTTGTGTTTGATTCCCGTCTTTGATTCCCGTGTTTGATTTCCGAGTTTGATTCCCGTGTTTGATTCCCGTGTTTTTTTTTCTTGAGTTTGATTCCCGTGTTTGATTCCCGTGTTTGATTCCCGAGTTTGATTCCCGTGTTTTTTTTTCTTGAGTTTGATTCCCGTGTTTGATTCCCGAGTTTGATTCCCGTGTTTGATTCCCGTGTTTGATTCCCGTGTTTTTTTTTCTTGAGTTTGATTCCCGTGTTTGATTCCCGTGTTTGATTCCCGAGTTTGATTCCCGTGTTTGATTCCCGTGTTTGATTCCCGAGTTTGATTCCCGTGTTTGATTCCTATGTTTGATTCCTGAGTTTGATTCATGTGTTTGATTCCCGTGTTTGATTCCTGTGTTTGATTCCTGTGTTTGTGTTTGATTCCTGTGTTTGATTCCTGTGTTTGTGTTTGATTCCTGTGTTTGTGTTTGATTCCCGTGTTTGATTCCTCTGTTTGTGTTTGATTCCCGTCTTTGATTCCCGTGTTTGATTCCCGAGTTTGATTCCCGTGTTTGATTCCCGTGTTTTTTTTTCTTGAGTTTGATTCCCGTGTTTGATTCCCGTGTTTGATTCCCGAGTTTGATTCCCGTGTTTGATTCCCGTGTTTGATTCCCGTTTTTTTTTTCTTGAGTTTGATTCCCGTGTTTGATTCCCGTGTTTGATTCCCGAGTTTGATTCCCGTCTTTGATTCCCGTGTTTGATTCCCGAGTTTGATTCCCGTGTTTGATTCCTGAGTTTGATTCATGTGTTTGATTCATGTGTTTGATTCCCGTGTTTGATTCCCGTGTTTGATTCCCGTGTTTGATTCCTGTGTTTGTGTTTGATTCCCGAGTTTGATTCCCGTGTTTGATTCCTGAGTTTGATTCATGTGTTTGATTCATGTGTTTGATTCCCGTGTTTGATTCCCGTGTTTGATTCCCGTGTTTGATTCCCGTGTTTGTGTTTGATTCCTGAGTTTGATTCCCGTGTTTGATTACCGTGTTTGATTCCTGTGTTTGTGTTTGATTCCTGTGTTTGATTCCTGTGTTTGTGTTTGATTCCTGTGTTTGTGTTTGATTCCCGTGTTTGATTCCTCTGTTTGTGTTTGATTCCCGTCTTTGATTCCCGTGTTTGATTCCCGAGTTTGATTCCCGTGTTTGATTCCCGTGTTTTTTTTTCTTGAGTTTGATTCCCGTGTTTGATTCCCGTGTTTGATTCCCGAGTTTGATTCCCGTGTTTGATTCCCGTGTTTGATTCCCGTTTTTTTTTTCTTGAGTTTGATTCCCGTGTTTGATTCCCGTGTTTGATTCCCGAGTTTGATTCCCGTCTTTGATTCCCGTGTTTGATTCCCGAGTTTGATTCCCGTGTTTGATTCCTGAGTTTGATTCATGTGTTTGATTCATGTGTTTGATTCCCGTGTTTGATTCCCGTGTTTGATTCCCGTGTTTGATTCCTGTGTTTGTGTTTGATTCCCGAGTTTGATTCCCGTGTTTGATTCCTGAGTTTGATTCATGTGTTTGATTCATGTGTTTGATTCCCGTGTTTGATTCCCGTGTTTGATTCCCGTGTTTGATTCCCGTGTTTGTGTTTGATTCCTGAGTTTGATTCCCGTGTTTGATTACCGTGTTTGATTCCTGTGTTTGTGTTTGATTCCTGTGTTTGATTCCTGTGTTTGTGTTTGATTCCTGTGTTTGTGTTTGATTCCCGTGTTTGATTCCTCTGTTTGTGTTTGATTCCCGTCTTTGATTCCCGTGTTTGATTCCCGAGTTTGATTCCCGTGTTTGATTCCCGTGTTTTTTTTTTCTTGAGTTTGATTCCCGTGTTTGATTCCCGTGTTTGATTCCCGAGTTTGATTCCCGTGTTTGATTCCCGTGTTTGATTCCCGTTTTTTTTTTCTTGAGTTTGATTCCCGTGTTTGATTCCCGAGTTTGATTCCCGTCTTTGATTCCCGTGTTTGATTCCCGAGTTTGATTCCCGTGTTTGATTCCTGAGTTTGATTCATGTGTTTGATTCATGTGTTTGATTCCCGTGTTTGATTCCCGTGTTTGATTCCCGTGTTTGATTCCTGTGTTTGTGTTTGATTCCCGAGTTTGATTCCCGTGTTTGATTCCTGAGTTTGATTCATGTGTTTGATTCATGTGTTTGATTCCCGTGTTTGATTCCCGTGTTTGATTCCCGTGTTTGATTCCCGTGTTTGTGTTTGATTCCTGAGTTTGATTCCCGTGTTTGATTACCGTGTTTGATTCCTGTGTTTGATTCCTGAGTTTGATTCCCGTGTTTGATTCCCATGTTTGATTCCCGAGTTTGATTCCCGTGGTTGATTCCCGAGTTTGATTCCCGTGTTTGATTCCCGTGTTTGATTCCTGTGTTTGTGTTTGATTCCTGTGTTTGACCCTCGTGTTTGACCTTTGGATTGATTGTTGCTGACCCTTCTCTGCCGGCCGTGACCCTGGACTCTGATTCTCTCTGCCTGCCTCGATCCTTTGCCTGTCTACCTGGTTTGTCTCAATCTTGCCTTCTCTGTTCTGTTTGACCCTGGTACTATAGGCCTGTCTTGACCATTGTAATAAATGCTGCGAATGGATCCCCTTGGTTCTGCTGATTCTTCACAGATGTTTGGCCTCCAATCAGGAAAACCAGGCCGCAGCATTAACTCCGCCCCCTGCGAGCAACGCAGATAGAAAATACAAACGCAGATCAAGAAAAGAGACGGAAGTAGAAGAGAGAAGAGTGCTTTAGAGAATTAATTGTGAAATACTTACAAGAAATCTTAGTTTGATTTGAGAATAAATTTATATTACAATTACACAGATTAAGGAACTTTGTTTGGATATCGTGCGTGAAGTCTGGTTGAATCTGTAGATGTTGGAGATTAAGCTAATGCTAATGAAGCAGCTCATCGTTGTTTATTCGATGATAAGCACATGAACAAGAACAGTTAATTAATAGAGGAATCAGTAAGTTTATGTTTATTCTGAGGATCTATGTTGATATCTTTGTACGCATGCGCGAGTCGTTGTGTGGCAATAAAACAAACAGAATGACCGACTGTAAAGACGCGACAAGCACTTTCAAGAGAGTTAGCAGGCAAAATCCACAATATATAAACACTTTAATACTTGATTGTCTTTTCATGAATAAACAAACACTGTTATGTTGTCTTGATTGATACAGTCAATCAAGCAGCTTTGATAGAATCTGTATTGTGAAAAGCGCTATATAAATATATTTGACTTGACTTAATATCTGACGACCGGAGGAGGTTTGGAGAAAAGCTCAAAATTTGTATTGGTGACAAAACTGAAGTTATTCAAAGCCCATATGTGATTTGGGATGTCAAAAAACGTTGGTCCGACTCGCCCATGTCTTGGCCACTATAATCTGCTGCGGAGACATTTATTCTTATCTAATAGAAACCCCTGGACCCTTCACTCATGAAAGAGTAAAGGCTTTCAAAAGTCGGGAGGCCTAGGATTATTTTGTTTCTCGAAAAGTTGGGCCGATCTTTACTGCCAAACAGGAAGCAGTGAAAGTGCTGAAAGCAACATGACATCATGAATTTTGCATAAACATACATCTATACCCAGATAGCAGACTGACATTGAATCAACGTGGAAATATGACATCGAAACAACGTTGATCTGACATTGTTTTGCTCATCGAATTAACGTTGAACCAACGTCAGACGCGTCATTCTTTCAAAACTAACGGAAAATCAACTTGAAATCAACGCGTTGTTTCAACGTTATGAAAGCAAACCAATTTTCGATTTTCATTTAGCTTTGAAGAATGCCGCGTCTGACGTTGGTTCAACGTTAATTCGATGAGCAAAATCAACGTT